TGTGACCACCTTTAACCTTTAACCTCGATTATTGTCTTGTGTCACTTGTGCCTTTGTATTTGTATTTTATTTTTATTTACTTTCTGTTACCTGCCTAGAGACAACAGATGGAAACAAGCACTTCTGCCATAATCTGGCATTTGTTACAGCTGTTCATTAATGTGCACTGTCCCTAACAGATAAATAAATAAATAAATAAAACAAAAATAAACTCTTTTATTCCCACTGCAATACGCATTTTAAAGCAGGCTAGATAAGCAATGTTTTTTAAATGCTGTGCGTGTGTTTTTACCTATTTAAGGGACTTTTAGCTATTTATGACCTGATGTGAGTGTTAGTGTGAATGTTTCTATGTTTTCATGTTGAGCCTCAACAAAAGGTCATTTTCTGTCACAATGTGATGGACAATAAAGTTTTTTGGAATCTTTGAATTTTGAATCTTAACAGAAGAGAGTGTCAAATAACACCGGGGATCTTTCAGTCAGTCGTACAAAACAAAGCAGTACGGTGGCTTTTCATGTCGACCCTGCAGAGGGCGCTGCGTCCTGGATGATCGCTGTCTGCAGAGCTGACATCGATTTCAGTCTCTTATTCACAATCATTGATTTTGTTTTGAACAAAGCGGGGAAAAGACTTTTCCACAGACTTTTATGAATATTTTTTTTAGATTACGAGGATACAACGCCTCCCATGATCCTCAGTCCATCGTATAAGGAGAACGCTTCCTGACCTCCAGGTGTCTCAGGTGGTGTTCCTCCTCTTCATGAGAGCGAGCCCGGACCCCCTCTTGATGGACAGAGAGGAGTGAGCGTTCCTCATTTTGTCTCTGAACGTCCTGGTCGAGTAGTAATACAGCAGCGGGTTGACCACGCTGTTGGACGCCGCCAGACACAGCGTCACCACCACCGCCCGCTGCAGCCCCACCGTGATGTCACAGCTCCAGCGCTCGCACACGGCGTGCAGGTGCACAGTTCTGATCACGTGATAGGGCAGGAAGCAGAGCAAAAAGGTCGCCGTCACCATGGTGACCAGGTGCACCGAGCGCCGCCTGTTGCGAAGTTGTTGAGCGCTCTTGGATGACCTGTTGGCGTGCAGGCTGGATCGGATCGTCAGGTGCCGGATGATTCTGCTGTAACAGACGATGATCGTGAGAAAAGGGAGGAGGAAGCCGAGGGCCAACGCCACGTAGTTTAGGATCAGGACACGCGTCCAGGAGGAGGGGCTTGATGGCTCGAAGCAACGTGGAGACCCGCCCCTGAGGCGCAGAAATACAGAAAGACAGATTTGATTTCTTTATTCAAACTGAACATGACGGACCGTGGAGTCAGACACCTGGAAGAGAGCGAGAGGGGAACGCCATGCGGGACAGAAGCCGAAAGGTCAGAGTTCAACCTCGGCCGCCCGCCTGGAGGACTAAAGTGACTCTCACCTTTTTGTCACCCCTTGGGTCAGGAAGGGGACAGAGGACACGCCCACAAACAGCCAGACTCCAAGACAAACCAACAAGGTCCGAGTGGGCGTGGCCAGAGAGCGATGACGAAAAGGCTGAGCCACAGCGAGCCAACGGAGCATGCTCAGTAGAGTCAGGAAGAGGATGCTGAGGCGGGAGTAAAAAGGCCGTTTAGTATGTGTGTGTGTGTGTGGTGTGTTGTGTGTGTGTGTGTGTTGTGTGTGTGTGTGTCTGTGTGTGTCTGTGTTGTGTGTGTGTGTGTGTGGTGTGTGTCTGTGTCTGTGTGTGTGTGTGTGTGTGTGTGTGTGTGTGTGTGTGTGTGTGTCTGTGTCTGTGTCTGTGTCTGTGTGTGGTGTGTGTGTGTGTGTGTGTCTGTGTGTGTGTGTGTGTGTGTGTGTGTGTGTGTGTGTGTGTGTGTGTGTGTGTGTGTCTGTGGTGTGTGTGTTGTGGTGTGTGTGTGTGTGTTTCTCTATAAGGAGAGGTCTCTGGCCACGCCCACTCGGATGTCAGGTGTGTGTGTGTGTGTGTGTGTGTGTGTGTGTGTGTGTGTGTGTGTGTGTGTGTGTGTGTGTGTGTGTGTGTGTGTGTGTGTGTGTGTGAGTGTTTGTCACCTTGTGTACAGGTTGACGTAGAAGCCAAAGACACACAGGCGGCACAGCCAATCGGGGAAGTCCCAGACGCCGCCCTGGAAGTAATAAGCCAATCGCAGTGGGAGGGTGAGGGAGAAGCTGAGGTCTGATAGGGCGAGGTTCATCATGACCACAGAGGAGGCGACGCTTCTGGAAAAGAACCACAGAGAGAGAACAGTAGCGCCATGTTGGTTTCTGTGTGGTTTAAATGTTGGAACAGGTGAAGAACATCGAACACGTCCAGTCAGCAGTCTGATCCAATGTCAGCACGTTTTGCAGATTTATATTTTTATCGCCTGGTGACTTTCTTTCCAGCATTTTAAAAAGTTTATCTGATGGACACATTTTTCTGTGTGCTGACAAGATCAGTTATTTGCATGCCATACACAGGTTTCCTAATCAGCTG